CTGTATTTTTGCGAAACTGTGGCTGTTTTTTGAACTTTTGTCGCCATTTAAGCCATTAGCGTTAACTTTTTCTAATTCAGGGAAGTTCTGCCACTAAATTATTAAAGATTCGAGAAAAGGTCAAAGTTGAGGTCTGAACCATTGATCCTTGGTGACGAGGATGCTCATAGTCTCTCAGTTGGTTCATTTACAACTTAAGTCAAGACTAAAACATCTCAACAACCTTTGAATTATTCACCACGCAATGCACATATTCATGGTTCTCAGGGGTGGTACCTTAATGACTTTGGTGTTTTCCTAACTTTTTATTAACTTCATTCATGTTTTTTTTTTGTAAAACAAGTCAACAGCTATTGGTTCGTCACATGATACCATATAATGATTTTCCCGTAGCTCAAACCATCATCAGCTTCTTTGCAAATTCGTACAGAATCGACATTCCATTCAGATAGCAGGGGATTCTTTTTAAAGGCAGATATCTCAAAATCTTGGCACATAAAACCAACAACTGTCTCCGTGGATCTACATGAATAAGATGTTCTTTTTTTCTGATGTGGGTGAACTGACTGCCTAAGCCTAAGTTATTTTATCCTCCAGGTGACCTACAAGCGGGATTTGGCTGCTGCAGAGTCCATCGTTAAAGGTGAGCTACGGTCATAAATTAGCGTTGACATCACTTCCTATACGTGTGGACTTTCTCATCTTCTCACATTATAGAGTGCGTGTGCATGAAAAGCTGCTTCCTGAAGGTGCTCTCAGACGGGTTCAATGGTCAGAAATAAGCAGCACAACAGTGTTTTGTCTCTTTTTGTGTGGTCCGGGGTTAGAAGTGAATGGGAGACGTAGAACTGAAATAGGCTGCACTGAGAGCGAGACATTCTTTGTGGCATTGTTTAGCACAGGGCGGTGAATACTACGGAGAGCAAGTCGGGACAAGGACGAATATCACAATCAGAGAAATGGAAATAAACACAGCCCTATATTTCACCCCGCCAGCACCTGGACCAACAAGTACCTGTTTGATGATGACATAAGGCGCACCAGCGATTATTCCCAGAGCCTCTCAAGTGAAAGAATTCATTGTGTGATTTTTTTTTTTTTTTTTTAGAATAGATGTTGAAGAAAGTTCTCACATCTGTCAGTTTGAGAAAGTGTCGAGTGGTTCAGTGTGTGTGTGTGGTTGCATTTCTGCGTGCACATGCACAGGCACAAGTCTGGAGTTTGTGGTTATCCATGTCAGCGGTGTGTGTTTTGGATTCCTCAACTGACAAATTTTAATCGAGACAGCCAGCCACATGGGGGGTCCAAAGCCTCTTGCAGCAGTGTGTCGCACTTTTAATCGTACCATTGTTTATTTGAGTGTGTAGCTGGTGAATCCCAGTCTTGTACTGTCGCAGTTTAATTGCTTAATTAGTATGTCAACCAGTTGCTTGCCTTGATAGTAATGTTATTCCTGGACTAACTAATTATTGTTTCAGGCATATTGCGTTTAAGAAGTCATTCTCTGCACATTATAACGAGGTGACTGACTTTCATACAGCCTGAGAGGAAGCAACAAAACACCAGTTGTTTTTCTGGTTTACTTCAGTTATTTATTGCTTAATAGAATAATTAACAAACAAAGAAGGCAAAACAGCAAGGCAAGGCAGAGCCCGCTGTCGTTGCTAAATCAATGAAACAAATAAAATGCTAACAGTGTTCCAGCTTGCTGAAGAAACTGCAAAAGAAAAAAAAAATGAACTAAACTTTTTAGTCAAAGTGAAGGCAGCAGAGAGCCCCTGGTCTCAGTGTAGACCTCTTTACGTGGGTGTGGAGGAAAAACCGAGTCTGGTTTAGTCTATAGCCGTCAAACGAGTGACTCGTAACATGTATGACGAAGCCCTGAGCTACAAGAACTCCAAGATAACCAGTAACCACCAGCTAGCATGTGCTGAACAAGACTAAAGCTGGAATCACAGCCGCCCAGACGAACAGGTTACGTTTTCATTGAGCTGAAGCGATGCTTCAGTTTGATCGGAGCACAGGACGAATCGATGGCGAGGAGAGGTATGGAGAGGGCTGGAGGCAGGATGTGGAGAATGCACAGGAACCGATCCTGGTCAGGAGCCCACACAAACCAATTTACAACCATGAATCAGGGTCAGGAGGGATTCATCACACGAGCTGTACCACCATGACTACAGCTCTCTAATGAACCGCTTGCTTTTCTTGTCTAATTTGTAAGAAAGCAAAATGTAACTTCGTGGTCAGATTGGAAATCACCAGCTTCTAGTCTTTGAGCCGAGCTAATCATCTCCGAGCTTTAGCTCTGTATATGAAAGTGGTAACAATCTCTTCATCCCTCACAATGAAGCAGATTGAGGCCTGTATTCAGGCCGGTTCGTCTGTACGTACAATCTACTGTGCACAAGATAAGTATTATAAAAACAACTGTGTGTGTCTGTGGCTGTCGGCAGGGTGACAAATCAAGGCTAAAATATGTGTTTAAGGTAAGAACTCACCTTCGCCTCTCAGTGAGTTTATTTTTAGATTCTTGGACCATTTTGGATGAATTAGACCACAACGTGTTGCTCTTAGTTGAATTTACTGCAGCTTTGATTTGCACCTCTAATGGGTTTCTTCTTTGTAGATGTGTTGGCTGAGGCTCTGGCTGTCTTGGTATTTAACCATATTTTGCTCAATGAAATGGATGAATAATAAAAAAAAAAACAGATTTCTCACTTGCTGAAGTTACTCTATAGTGACGAATGTTGTGTCAGATAGATGGATCTGTTCTAATGTGTAGAATCGCCACAGCTGATTTTGACTTTCTTTTCCGTTGAGGTTAAAGATCAAACCAAACCCGGTGGATGATCCACATGACCCAAAGCAGCTACTGTGATGCACAGAGATTGTGATATATGGTGATTTTAAGGTGGCTCGGTGGTTAGCACCATGGCCTCGCAGCGAGAAGATCCCTGATGAGGACACCCAGGATCTTTCTGTGTGGAGTTTGCATGTTCTCCTCATGCAGCGTGGGTTCTCTCCAGGTTCTCCGGCTTCCTTCCACAGTCCAAAAACATCCATCCAACCATCCATCCATCCATTATCTATACACCGCTTAATCCTCACTGGGGTCATGGGGGGCTGGAGTCCCAGCTGACTCAGGGTGAAGGCAGGTTCACCTGGACAGGTAACCAATTAACCTCAACATGTTTCTGGACTGTGGGAGGAAGCCGGAGAACCCGGAGAGAACCCACGCTGCACGGGGAGAACATGGAGACTCCACGCAGAAAGATCCCGGGTGTTCTCACCGGGACGCGAACCGGCGACCTCCTAGCTGTGAGGCAACGATGCTAACCACCGAGTCACCTTGCAGCCCAGTCCAAAAACATGCTGAGGATAGACTCCAGCCCCCCGCGACCCTAGTGAGGAAACAGCGGTGTGTAGAAACTGGATGGATGGATGTCAGAGAGAACACATAGAACCATTTATTGTGTACAGCAGTCTTCACTTGTAGTTTTTCCCTAAACGAACACACCTATACTTACGCTACGGTTTCTGCAGGTTGTTCATTTTACCATGTTGTGATTCATTCAGTTTATTTTTCGTCTCTTAATAGTGACACCAGGCTGACTTGAACTACCAGATTGTGCCGGTTTGTGTTAACGAGCAGGAGGCTGTTACTAATCACACATCCCTTCTCTTTCAGAGAGTCTGTCGCGATCAGCCTGCGTCATCACAGGTGCGTCAACAGGAGCTGTGACGCTGGCCGATGCCCTCCAGAAGGCTGTGGGAGCTCTGGATATGGTACGTGTGAGACAATAACAATGAGATAAAATGTCGGTAATGCCGATGACAGCATCGCCAGTCTACTGTTTTATTTTCCCGTCTCCCTCGTCCCTGTCTCCAATCCTGTCCCCCCGCAAACTGCGCGCGAGCTCCACTTGGGTGGCCCAGTGGTAAGACTTACCATCTGTGGTCAGACCTCTAATGGAGCCTGTCTGGGACGTCCACACTCTGCAACTTTCCTCCTCCTCCTCGTTTTCTCCCTCCATCCACAACTTCCACCTCTCACTCCTCGGCACGCAGCAGAGCAGATGGCCGTCAAATTTCCTGCACCGTGGGAGTTTGCTTGATTAACTGAGTGTTTAGTGATGAGTTCTTACCTCCTCCTCCTCCTCATCATCATCGTCCTACCACCTCGGCTCAGTCAGACTTGACAAGCTCCCAGTTTCCACCACAGTTTACGTCCCTCCCTCTCATTTTCAATCATTTGTTGGGCGCATCAGATTTCCGTGTTGCCTTCAGCCCATGTTGCAAACATCCTTCGTTTAATTTGTGAAATTGTTCCTAATAGACAATGGAAAACAGCATCCATATGCAAAACAGCACAGAGTGACAGTCTGAGATATTAAATCCGACAGCACAGACCATGTAGAGGTTCCACATGTGTTACTTCATCAACTGTTGGGTTTCCCTCGAGTGAACCGCACCGTCGAGAACTCAAAGAACCTTTTCCGAAAAAAACAAAGACGAAAGGGGATTTTTAAAAAGCTGACTCGCTGACGATAACGCCTGGACCTGTGACTGCAGGTTCTGAATCTGTCGGATGCACATATATATATATATATCTGTGCAAAGCTGAGGTCAGTTTGAAACGAGAAGTAGATGGTCACCTGGCATGTTATGATGGTGGCAAAACAGGTTTTAAATTGGTTTTGAGACAAACAAATTCACCCTGAAATATCGGTGTCAGTCACAGGATTGGTGTCCCTCTTCCTAAAAACTCACGTCTGTGTATCAAAGCCACATGGAAATACAGTCGTGACTCGATAATCTGACACTAAATGTAAAACCTTCTTTTATGTCGGATAGCAAGGTTGTCGGATGTCAAGACAGAGGTCGAGATACAAGGAGGGCTTGATGCTGGAAGGCTCATTAGTTGTTAATATTTATTGTTCATAGTTGTTATAATAACTAGTAGGGCTGGTCCCAATCGCACCTTCTGGTCTCTGGATATTCAGGCCCAATTAATGAGGAATATCAGAATATTCAGTGCAGTCGGGGGACACTTCCACCCCGGGGCAGCGCTCTGACGGGGTGGAAGTGTCCAGAACACACAGGCAGTACTTGGCTGCTGATGCTAGTTTAGTTAGCGCTCACACTTCTGTTTCCACCATCGGTGGCGGCGGGGGAGTGGCAGATACGCTCCACCGTTACCATCCATGTTTACTTCCATAAACACTGAGCACATTCGCTGCGTGTGACGTCGTCGTGTCCTCTTCTGTGCATGCGGGACACTTTTGGGTCGTATGAAGTTCACACAGCAGATCACATACAAGTCGCATTGAAGTGGAAACGTGAAGGAAGTCACAAAGAAATCCTCATTGAGCATCAAGTCCTGCAGTGTGAACGTAGCCAATCTGTGGGATTGTTCAGTCAGATAATACGCCGTCATCCTGAGTGGTGACATTAAATGTCATGTTGGAGTCAGAATCCAAGGCTGTCGCTATGTTAAGGCTGTTTTTATGGGTTCTGTTGGTTTTTCCTAAAAACCTGTTGGATAGCAGGTTTAGGATTGTTAAGGGTCGGATTATGGAGTCACGACTGTAATCCCTTCCTGCTTTAAAATAGATGTACACCATTGCTTCTATTAGATTTATGAAAGTTCTTACTTTTTTCTCGCTGTAGCTCGAGCACACCAGCTCACACTACACAATGGCAAGTTGTAATATTAGAAAAGAAACTGGAAACTGATTCTGAAAAAGAATAATGATACAGAAAGCTCCACCCTACAAGCTGACTGAACTGTTTCCTGTGTAGACGTCTGAACCAGTTTCAAGGAGCTGATGGCGGTTTTTGCCTATTTTCCTCTTCTATGGAAAAGCTCTTTGTATTTCAGTACACCAGAGCAGCAGCAGCATATTTCACCCTCGTGTAGCTTTTAGGGTTGCACAATATATCTTTGGCCATTTTGTTGGCGCATAAGTGAATTAAATTACCGTTATTGGTCCAATAAAGGAATTTTAGCCAATAATAATATCTTTTATTGTATCTTACAGACTTGCAGCGTGATTTAAAACCCAGCTCTGGATGATTTTTCTTTCTTTTTTATTCTCTTTGCTTGTCCTCTTTCAGTCACGGCTTGTTTACAGAAGTCCCGCTGAGCAGCAGTGCGACTTCAGAGCAGAGGGGATCAAACAGACTTTGGGTCACGGTTTGGTTGAGTCGACGATGACAGTCCGTACCACATGTGTGCTGTTTTATCATCAGTAATTAAGACAGAACGAGCAATTTATTAAACAACTATGCGCCAAGCGTAATAAACTCTGAGGAATGGGATGTCCTCCGCCGCTCTCTGTCCCCTCTTCAGCCACAGCGCTGGCATGTTTTTGACCTCACACACAGTCAGTCAGAGCTCGTTACGCTAATAGCTAACTGTTGTGAATTTAGTTTAAGTATTCACACGAGTTTTAGGAAATTAGTTCATTTCTTGTTGACTTTGAAACTGGGATGACCTCCTTATCGTCCTCTCTACCGGCAGTGAGGCAGGAGGATGGAAGAGGACACGATGACACGACCTGTTTCATGTTAAAAGGAGCTCAGCAGCTTTAATCCTCTGAACCCGAAGCGGTTTCTAGATGTTTTCTGCTTATTTTTACTCACTGTGTCTTCGTTTTCTTCACTGCGATTTAAAGGCCTGCCGCTTTAGAAATAGAAAGAACTCAGAGATGTCTTCTGTGAAGTCTGACAACATTACAGCGCCATAAATCTTTAAAAAACACAACAAGATGAATTTTGTGAATTATTTTACAAAAGTTGAAAACATCTGGAATCAGCATGTTTTACTGGAAAATAAAAATCTGTGCCTCTACATACTGTAGATTTTCTGCTAGTTCCATTTTCATTTTGCTGCCATACTTTTCTCCTGTCGGCTCTGTATAAACACGACCTGCAGTTCTGCCCAGTTCGACCTGTAAGTCCCTGAAATTTTGGAATGGGAGTGTTGGTCACAGCTGAGTCACATGAAGATGACAGAATTAAATTTTTTTTCCAGCATCTGGTTGGTTCCATTTTTTTAACAAAGACAGGTAGAATAAAGACATTTTTTGGGGGGAAAAAAATATGATTTTAAGCTTAGAATTAGTTTCTGGCTCTGATAAATGTCGTCATTGTACCATTTTTAAAAATGTTTTGTGAAGACAATATGATTTGCAGATTTCATTTTAGGTCAAGAGTGTAATAATAATAATGATAATAAACTTTATTTATAGAGCACTTTACAAAACAAATGTTACAAAGTGCTTTTCAATAACAATAAATTAAAAATTAAAATACAATAAGCACACAGAGTAATTGATAAAAGTAGAAGGCACACAAATAAAGCAGGAAGCTAGAAAACATAAAACTTAAATAAAATCAGGAAAAGCTCTCTGATAAAAATGTGTTTATGTCAAGTTACTGTGTTCTTTGTAGACTATACATGTTGACATAAGTACAAATGAACTATTACAGATTATTAATGCACATAAATCAAGAATATATTTTCAAACTGACATTTTCTTTATTCTAGGAGATTCTGTAAATAATGAAGATGCCAGGCTTAAAGATTCAAGCAGTTTCCTTTTCAGGAATTTTTATTTGAAAGATCAATGTTATTGGTTGTTGTATCACACGAACAGAAAAATATATATTGAGTATGAAGCTGTCAACAGAGATTCTGAAAAGTATGTAAAGTGGAATCAACACCTCTCTTACACAGAGTCAATATCGTTAAAAGCTTCCCGAACCATGGAGGGACTTTGTAGCGGATCACTATAGGTTTTTATTATGTGCTTATCACCTCTTGGTCGTCTCCAGAGCAGACACCCAGGCTGACAGATCTCCCACACATGGCTTCACGTACGAGAACGTCGTTCCCAGACCGTCCTGATGTGTATATACGCTCTCTGGGTGTAACTGCTGACACTGAGTGGCGCCGGCAGAGCACGTTTCCTTTTCATGTTTCCATGTTCCGCAGTGATCCAAACAGTCCATCCTCCTTTAAACTCGCTCCAAGTCCTTCATCAGCCGATGTCAAAAAGCAGCGGATCTCGCTGTCTGGTGCTGGGCCGGGCCCCAGAGACGGATTGGGGTCGGTGTCGGCCTCTTTGGAATCGGCTGATTGGAGCCATTCCCGTCTGCGCTCAGGTGGCCGGTGGGGCCGCGTCTTTCCGGTGCGCGTGTTCGGAACCAGATACATCCTTTACAAGAGAGGCTGTGAGGGAGGAAGAATAATGGGGGAGATGAAAGGCGAGTGGAAGAAGCGGAAGATCAAGAATTACCTTTGTCCCAGTGCCATCACATGAATCTAATACAGGGATAAGCAGCACACGCGTGTGTGTGTGTGTGCAGGTGGAGGATTTGGCAGCATGTGTGTGTGTGTGAGAGAGAGACGAAGACGCTCGCAGTAAGAATATGATTAGTGATTCTGTCAGCAGGATGTTGTCTGAGAGATACATTTGATCCAGTTTAAGTCCAGGCTCACCGAGACGAAGGAGAAGTCGACGTAGAACGTGTACAAACATGAATCTGTCATGTTTCTCCTGGTAATCACTCACTGCAGGAGTCTTGTAGCGCATGAGAATGATTTTAGACCTAATTTATTATATTTTCAGTAACACCTTGTTCACATTTACACTGAGAAAGGCTTTGCTCAACGGCACATCAGTAGCAGGTTAACATTTCTGTCTCTCAAACAGTAGCAGCGTGGTTG